CTATATCAGGCACTTGAACCCCAAATGGCGTTCAAAAAACTTCAGTTAAATGTTTGACTGTGCATTCGTTGTGCTCGAAACTATTTATAGATTTATTCTAATATTTTAATAGGTAACAGTAGATGGATATTTATGGATATGTGCCATTGAGTTTCCATACCAACATAATTTGTTTACAAAACAGTACACCCATCTATTTTTAGATACAAAAACGGAAAGATTTCAGAGATCGGCGTCAGCTTATTATTATAGGCTTATAATTTCTGGACCATGTCCTGGTCTCCTCTCTAAGCAAAGGACAAAGGACCTACACTCAGACCCGCATAATCGCATTAGGCAAAGTGAACTGCCGACCAGGGGCATTCGGTGGATGTAGATCCGTGTATCTGTGAATACTTTTTATTGGCCCACTTCCGCTGAAACTTTGCTTACCACAGCCACGACCGTACTCAACTTGAGTTCCTCACATTCTCTACTATTTGCTGCTGCATTCTTCGCCTGCTGAATTTTTAACGCTTTTATATTTAAGTTGTATTTTAGCTCGTGGTGTTGGCTGTCTAGGCCTGACACTTTTCGGGGCCACCCAGAACCCAGAAACAAGATCCCAGAACCCAGAACCCAGAAGTGCACACGGCTGAGTGGCTGAGGCTGCAGACGTGCCGAAAATCGCTTTAAATCAAAATAAATAAAAAATACATGAGTGGGAGCGGAGGCATCAGGGGGGCAGTGGGGGCAGGTGGGTGGGGGAGGGGGGAGGGGGGAAAACTCCACCCCCAGCAGCTTATGCAAACGGGAATTAACTTAATTGAGTGGCGCGAACAGCACAAAGCAAGGCAGATTGGGGGACTGGGAGCTCCAAGGTTGGTTCACAGTGACTGCGAGACACTGGCCGCATTTATTGTTGTTTGTTCTCTACAATATCACTCATTTAATATTTTTTTAAATTATTTCTTATCACATTTTGCTGCACACTTATGTGCTCTTAGTCATTAACTACGCGGAAAGTATTTTGGGAAACGAATCGAATGCGTTCTGTGGCTTGTAGCTTAAGTAGTATTTGAGCTATAAAATTATCACTATACGAGTATGGAAACTTCAATAAACTGATTTTTGCAATAAAGGTGACACTCAAAGCGCAACTCATTAACGACAAAAGCCGTCTGCAGTACTGCTGCTATTTTCGATAGTGTCATTTAGCCATAATCAGCAGCGAAAGGAGGAGCTGAATCTGAAGCAGCTGCCAGGAGCAGAGGATTGCGGAGAATCAGCATCAGGTTCAGATTCAGGAGTCGCCTCGGGGGAAGGGAGCTGGCAGCCGGGAAATGTGGGCTTGGACTGGGAAGGGTGCGAGTGGCAGATGGGCAAGGGAATGGGGATGGGGATGGGACTGAAAAGCCAAGGTTACTGTCTCCCCCGCGTAATTGCGCATAAAAATGAAGCGATTTATATGCGCGTATTTTTAATGTTTCATAATTGGGTAAGCCCATCCGCTGGCGGAGGCACGAAAGGAGCTGAAGGAGCCCAAGGAGCCCAAGGAGCAGGATCTGCCGCAGATGTATGCATGTGTGTGTGTGTGCCACCTTATCTGTGCTGTAAAGTGATATGTTAATGTTTGTCACACGCACACACGCGTGCCACATGAAATGTCGGCTCTTCCTTCAACTGCACTCATTATACCCGTTCCTCGTAGAGCAAAAGGGTATACTAGATTCGTTGAAAAGTATGTAACGGGTAGAAGAAATGTGATACGCCCACAAACCGCACAAAACTCTCACGCCCACACTTTTAAGCAACTTCCAGATAATGTTGAAATTTCTCGTTGGCACTTCCACTAGCTGAGTAAGGGGTATCTGATAGTCGGGGAACTCGACTATAGCATTCTATCTTGTTTTCATTTCACTTCTCGCACAAATAAAAACAAAGCGATGAAAACTTAACTAGTATCATGGCATGCAAATGTTGCAGGTACCATTTTGTCCCTGCAGAATAAACAATTTTTTATTAAATACATTCAAATAAATGATGACATCCCTTTGACGGAATGAAACTCAGATATTGATAGTTGATATTTTTGCAAAATCCATTTCAATAATCCTGCCCATGTGCATTTCCTTGGCAATTCTATCATTTTCGCATTGATTTGAAATGGCCAGTAAATTGAGTAGAAAGTGGCAGTAGAAATGAGCAGCGGAAGCAAAATTAAATTGTGCACAAGAGGCGAGCAATTAAAACTTCATCGATGGCACAATGATACGCTTGTGCAATTTACAATTACAATCGCTCACAGAGTCAGAATGGATAAATGCACTTTGTAATGGCAAAAACGGTCGATAGCATCTCGACTGAAAGTGTCAAACGGCCGGCTATTTATTGGCCGATAAGGTGAAATTGCAATTGCACGAATGAATGAGGGCCAAAACTTTCTGCACCGATGGCAAGCGGCGATTACGATAATCCCATGCTGATGATATTTTCATAAATAAGCCGTAATTCATTTCTCAATTTGACAACATAATGCTTGGCGTTATTTGTATTCATTTCTTGGAAGTCCATTTGGGGAGCGAGCTTTTTGGGCAGCTCGCTCGTCGGATGGTGTTCATTAAAATTGAAAAATGCCACTTTAATGAATTTATTTGCGACACTTAACACAAGCGCAAGTAAACAGAGAAAAATGGTGTTCATTAGCATTAAAATTTCGCTTCTTCCACTACAGTGGCCATTGTAATAATGGCCGCCCCGACTCGAGATGCTCAGTCACCCATTGGCATACACTTGAAAAAATGGCCATTGGAGTTAAAACTCATCTTCGCAACTCTTCCACCCATTTCAGGGTTTTCATCAGGGGTTTTCCAATCGATTGGGAAGTAAGTAACGTATTTGGATCATTTCTTTCGCCTTTTTCAGCTAATAATCGTGCAATTTGCTGTCGACAGCTGTATTCAAAGTGCAGCTATTCACGGAATGAATCGTTATTTTTTCGAGTATCATGGGAGCGGGAACGAGGAGCTGTAGGTCCCCCTGCTGACAGTTGGTGGGTTGGCGGACTCGTCTTGGGGCTGACGATTGTCATTACTGTTTGGACTATTGTCAAAGCTGTTGGCCTGCAATTGATGAGTCAATATGTCAACGAGTGACAGGTCACGATGCATCGCAGCCCGCCCTCAGTTCAACCTCTCCACCCAAACACTTTCGCATTCATTTTCAAATAGTTAACATTCAGATATCCGGGGGCAATTGCTTGTAAGGTAATTAAATTAATGCGAATTTCAATCGGGCAATCATTCTGCTGTACTCAGTGTCGTTGCGAGAATGGATTTATTTCACCTCTGCACTTGTTGTTACAAGCTACTTTTATGATTTATTTGGCTTGAACATGGAAGCGATTTGGACTTGGCAATGAGTTTATTATTGTAAGGCCAGCACCTCTATCTTTTCAATAGTATTCTATTACGTTGAACTAACTTATTGAACACTAACACAATAAATGCTGAAGCATATTCCGTGAACACGGATAATTCATACAAATTGTGAGACTCTCTTCCACATTCCACACAATGCATGTGTATTTATATATAATATCTTCTAAATATATTTGAACATCTCGGAAGTCCACCTACTTCCCTGCTCCTCGGCTGGCCACTCAAATCAACTCAAGAGGCGGTAAGTTGGCCCCGAAGCCGTTGGCCCAAACTCGGCTGGCCGTAATCGCAACTGTAAACTCGTTGGCACTCGCATGTGTTTATTGGTTCAGGGGGTCCAGGGGCCAAATTGGCAAGGGGGCAAAGTGGCAGAGGGGAAGGGGGGCTGATGTGGTCGATGGGGTGGATGGGGTGGATGGGTCAAGAGGTCAGGCAGCTGGCAATTACATTTGACTCGTTGCACTCAAACAATTCGGCGTACTCACCATTGGGCCTCTTGAACATTTCAGGGAATACGAGTGTACTGTAAAGTCTAGTTATCTGAATCAGTTTAAGCCGTTTAATTGTCTTTTTTCCTTGACACGCCAGTGGCAAGTCATCAAACGCGGACTAAGTAGTGGCATTCATTTAAAAGCTGCCTTAAATTCAAGCGGATGCAGGTGAGTAACTCAAGAAATTGCACTTGGCAGTGATGGTGATTTTTTCCAGTGCAATGGCAGAGATCGGGATCCATGTTGTCCAAAGGGTAAAGGCTAATTCAATTGCTTAGGCGCTCAATGAACAGAACCAACAATCCGCCCGGCAAATTGCTTAATGCTCCAAGTCACGTGTTCGCCCGCTCACCATATTGCCACCGCTTTGTGCGGTTAATTTGCCACAAGCCGCCCCCGAAAAGCCCGAGATTTGCATGCCCCACATGCCCGTCGCTTTTGGTCACATTTCCCCCATCGCTGCCACTGGCCAACGGAGATTGTCGCCAGGAGATACGACCGCCCACAGAGATGGAGTGATTTTTGTGGCCTAGTGAGGCTCGATCTGCTGGCGATGAAGTGTAACTGCAACGTGAGCTGGCGCATGAGCGATTTTTTAATAACCGGAACTGCAGATATTGGCCAGATATTGTATTTGTTTTTGCAATATGCAATTTGCTTTGCAATGTGCCAGACACATATAAATTAAAAATAACTCAAATATTGGGAGTAAAAGAAAAAAGTTTAGTTGAACAAGTAGTACACAAAAGTTGCATTTATTCGATGGCATTTTTTGATTGAAATTCGAAATGCGCGCCATGTGGCCAAGCAGTTTGGGCTTGCGTCTCTGCTAGACGTTAACGACATGCAAGTAGATAACTGCTTACGATAACGAGTCTGCAGATTATGTAGTACGGATAACATTACAGTTCTAAACTGCTGTACTGATCTAAATCAAGCAGTTCTGCAGTTTTCTTATTGGACTTCTTATTGGATGGGTAACGATTTTTTGAATTTTTATGTAACTAGCAATCCATCTCTTTTCTTTCCGTGTTAATTAATTTATCTTTGAATATGTACCAAAATCATTGCAGAACGAGAATTTAATTACACCTTATGAAAATTTGTTTTATTGTTTGTCAGCTGGTAAATAGCAATGAGTAGGAAAGTGAAAATGCTTATTAATTACAATCTATAACCAAATATCGGAAAAAGTAGGAGCCCCAATTCTGAATTTTCTTTTTAGTTTTCCTATTACATCCCCCGCCAATTCATTAATTTGCTATCTCTAAATATAGATATCTCCTGCTAAGATGTACAGTGCTCTAGTTGCTTGCCCCACTTAAAACGCTACCCACTTCGAGGGGTAGATCACTTCCTAGGGGTTTCACGACCATTCCTTAATTAAGTTCGTATCTAATGTAAAAGTATAGTTTTAGTTCCGTGTGGGATTTGGTTCGAGTTCTGGTGCCGTTGAAGGGGACACGGGCTCGGTCTCCTATTCTCTAGGTTATCATTGGCTGGAGTGGCGGCTAGAACATGGTGTCCTCCGCTGGCTTCCGGTAGACGCGTCCCTTCTTCCGCATGTACTGGTTGATAAAGTCGTAGGACTTGTGCTTCACTGACTCCGTGCAGGACAGGGGATTCCCGGTGATGTCGCAGTACCGCACCTCCTTGGTGGTAATATGATGGCTGAGCTGTGGGCGGAACAAGAGTCAGGATAAAGGAAATGTGCAACAGAAAACGAATGGGCACAGCTCACCCGTTTGATCAGGAACTTGTAATCCTCATCACTGGTGATACGGCCCAGCTGGCAGCTCTCCTTGCGATACGGACGCAGGAAATCGGCCACATGCCCGCTGATCTCGAAGCGGAACTTCTCGTGGGCCTCGCGTCCACTGGTGGTGGTTAAGAGACTCTGGGAACTGGTAACACACAGGTAATTAGAATAAGCCGAACAGGATAGTATTAAATGCAAACCCACCTCGGGCCCTTCTTGCTCCTCTGTTCCTGCCGATGCTTCTTCGCCGAAACATTCGGTGGCATCGGTAGCTTCCGCTTGACAACCGCCCCCACTACGCTCGGCTGCGTCGCCTGCGCCACTGACTTGCCCAGAGCCGCCATGGCGGCATGACTGGTGCTCGGTGCCAGGTTCAGTGATTCCTGGTCCTCCTCCGGCGCCACTGTACCCTCGGTGGCGGCCGGTTCCCCAACTGGGACTTCAGTCTCATCCTCGTCGGAGGAGTACAAGTAGGCCTGAATGGGCAGTGGCTTGCCGGGAATAGCGTCCTCCGCATTCGCTGAGATATCCGGTGGGGCGTCGAGCTTGCGCCGTCGATAGAGCTCCTTGCGTCGCCGGATCTTCTCCTTGTTCTCCTTGTACTTGCGGGACTCCAACTGATTGTACAGACGATCCTCATCCCTTCGTGGACTAATCAATCGGATGGAGACCAGTCGACTGCGACGCAGATCACGGCGCTCCCGCACCTTGGTCTCTACATACTGCGCCAGGGATTTTGAACTGAGCGAACCCACGTAGTCTATGTCCACCTGTATCAGCTCGTTGGCCAGGAGCGCGGGATCGTTCTGAAGCTCGTGCAGCGGCTGCTGAGTAGGATCCTCCTCCAACAGCGTCTGAAGGCGCTGCTCCGGACTGGGTGGTTCCCATTGTGATATGCGTTCGCGCAGATTGTAGTAGTAGATGTCGCCGTCGCTCGTCATCCGCCAGTGCCAGGCGGGCGGAAGGGGATCCACTCCAGCCGGTAGTTTATACTCCACGGCCGGAGCAGCCTGGCCGCCATCTATTTCGGGTGAGAGGAGCGCCTGCGACAGCAGCTCTGTGCGCGGCGGTGCTGGCACGAGCATGTCGTCGCTGTTGAACCACTCGCCAGTGTCGGCGTTCTGGTAGAAGGGCAGCTGCTTGGGATCCGTGTTCAGATCAGCGCCAAAGAACTCGCAGCGCAGCTCGTGCTCGCGCCAATCCTCGCTGCACACACGCCTCTCGGCCTCATCCAGAGCCACCTGGAAATTGGAATGGATTAAAGTCGATGCAGTCATTGCCTGCCTGTACCTGGAGTTCCATGTACTCACCTTCCTCTCAAACAGACTGCGTCGGAGCTCCTTGGACAGCGTACGCCTTGGCTCCGTCGAGGGCCCCATGTCGGATCTGCGGCGACTGTCGTTCCTGGCCATTCCGTCCATGGCTCCGTTGCTGCCCTTCTGCTGGGTGGTTATCGTGCATATCGTATTGTTGCCGCTCATGCGGATGGGTTTGCTTATGCGACTGCTCGTCGTGTCCCGGCGGAAACGGTCCTGCCTGAAGCGATCGCTGCTGCTCTCCCGTTCCCGCTGATCCTCCAGAGCGGTGCTGGCATGGACGTGCTTTTGCTGGCGATCCGCCTCCCGTTCGTGCTCCTTCATCTGCTCGATTCGTTCGCGCTTGGGGATGCGGAAGATCTCCGGCAGAGCTTGCCATTTTTGGAGCAGTGCTACCATCCGTTTGTGAAGAGCCGCCTGCGTCGCATGCGGTGCCGCAGCTTTCTGCTGCTCCAGGCCGTTGCTCCACAGTTGGACACTCTGGTACACGCGACTATCATTTAGCATGGTGCGATTCGGAATAGGCAGCGATTCGAGGGTGTCCAGCAGGGCTACTCTCAACTGCTCATCATTGCCATTCTCGCTTATCCAGGCATGTAGCAATCTCAAGCCGTGATAGTCCAGGAAAAGCCGACGACATGGTAGCTCGCCGCGCGTGAGCACACCGAGGAGTTGCAGACGGGTCTGGAGCAGCTTGGCACGAACCATGCAACGCGAGAAGCGCAGCGTGTCTAGCTGGTTCTTCAGCCCGCTGCGACTGAGCAGCGAGAGTTCCTCCAGCACATCGGGATCCTCGAGCATTGCGTGGAATTTGTTGACCTTGGGCTTCCTCGAGCCCTTCTCCGCCGATGATGGGCCGCCAGAAGAGGGTTTCAGCCAACGGCCGGCTTTGTACTCGCGATCCTTGGGCTTGGTCTGCTCTTTGCGCTTGCGACTGGTGGCCAGAGGTAGTTTCGCCTTGATCTTCGACTTTGACTTGGCCTTTGATGTCTTGCGCGGCTGGCCCCCCTCCGCCTCCGCCTCCGCCTCTGGCTCGGCTTCCAGCTCCTCCTCGTCCAAATCAGCCTCGCTGTCACTTTCCACATCCAGTTGCTCGCCCTCATCCGAGTCCGGTTCGCCTCCAATCCATCCCCGACAGTTGGCTGCCTCGCAGTAGCAACGCTGTGCATCTCGGCCATACCGCTGATACTGGTAATCGAAGGTGATCTCCTCGCCGGGTTGAATGGGCTTCACGCTGAAGAATCCAATGCGCAGCTCTCCGTTGACCGTCCACTTCTGCGTCTCGGCATTGGGATCGCAGCTGTGGTTGATGTACCGCGAGATGTTACCCTTGGAGGTGGCATCGATGATGGCTTCTCCCCGCAGGGCCATGAAATAGTAGTGACGATTGCGATCCTTCGAGTACAGATGCTGCCTGCGCTCGAACTCCTCGCTGTCAATCACCTCGCCCACATACTCCATGATGAATTCACCCGGCGGTATTTGCAGCTCCGCCGTGATGCCGCATCCCTTCTTCTCCGTGCGGAAAACGCGACATGGCCAGCACTGGTGCTGCTGGAAGCGCTTGTTGGTGCACCGCGCACCATTCGTGCACAATGGCCCGCACTCGATCATCAGCATCCGGTTGATGCAGCCGGCGCCGCAGCTCAGATGACCCTGCGCCTCCTCGTCGCCGGTGAGAAAGCAATCGCACTGCATCTCGGCGTTCTCTTGGCTCACCTAAAGCACACAAATCGTGGGTGGAATGAGTTCTAGTGTGGATGGTGGAAGCCATCGATACTCACCTGCCTGGCACAACGATAGTAGTTTTCCTTTAGCAACTGGAAAGTGTTCAGGCCCTCACCGCGCAGAAACTGCTCGTTGATGGCCTCGATGTTGGCCAGCTCGGTCAGCTGCTCGTCCATGCTGATCGGTGCCAGCGCCATGCTGGCCACACCTCTGCCCTGGCTAGCGCGTTGTCCCTGCGGCTTCTGCTTGATCCGATGGGAACGACGCACACCTCCGCCAGCGTTGCTCTCTTGGAGAATAGTCGCTGGGGTGGCAGAGTCCTCTGGGTTCGATTGCGTGGGCGATGGAGATGGCGTTGTGGCCGGAGTTTCCATATTAGCCAACCGTTGGGCAAATTCATCCTCCTCGGGATTCGCTTCTCGTTTCACTTCATCCTGCCCCTTCTCCCGTTGGTCTTCATCCACCTTGTAGTCGCGCTTGAGAAGATTCACGCCGTCTTCGATAAACTTGGCAATATCGCTGAGCGGATCCAGATCCGGTGAGGTTTGCACATCCCAGCGGCGCATTTTGCTACCCGATGACGTGGACTCGGACGACTCCGTTTCCAAGAGAGCCGCATTTAGAGCTTCCGCAGACTTTTGGGCTTTCTTCTTCGATGCTCCTTGCGAGGCACTCGAACTGGAGTCCAGCGAACTCTGGCGGCTCAGTGACTCTTTACCTCCCTTTCGCGCCCGCTTCTTGCCCGACGTACGAAGAAGGGTGTCGTGCAGCGGATTCGCGGATGCCTTGGGATGCATCGAGAAGCGGCGCTTGGTCAGCGGTACTGGTAAGGCGATCTCGGCTTGACGATCCTCGCAGATAGTGTTCCGTCGCTGGTCCAACTTGGAGCCACCGGCCAGCTCGTGGGAGGTTCCCTTGGGTGCGTTTCGCTTCGAGGAGGAGTCCGAAGAGGTGGAAACTGGCGAGCTGGCGGCCACCTCCTCAGTGGGTGTGCTACTCGTGCTCGATCTGAGGTCCTTAGCATCCTCACATATCGTACTGCGTCGCGGATTAGGCTTCTTTTTGGCCCTCGATCGCTTCAACTTGCCTGCCGAAGTGTTTACTTGAGCGGAATCGGAACTGGGAGAGCTGTTTCTGTCCTGTTTGGGTGAGTCCTCGTAAACGGTGTTCCTGCGCGAGCTGGCCTTGCCTGCCAGCGACTTCTTCTGCCCAGGAACCGGCTTGGCGGTGGGTAAAAGACTGGGTGCCTCCGCCTTGGGCGGCACCTTCTTCAGCTTTTTCTTGCTCTTCTCCTCGAGACGCATCTGGGCATTGGCCATATCCATTGCCTTGAACATGGCATCGCACTCAACGAAGCCGGTCGCGAGTTTCTTGTCGGTAAGGGGTTTCTTTCCTGCCTGTTCCTCTTTGGATGCATCTGGTGCAGCAACTGCGCCTTCATTCGATGTGGATTTCGAGATCTCTGACAGTGCAGATTCTTGTAGTGGTTTGGTGCTGCTCCTTTCCGAATTATGGAGCAGTGGTGGACATTGGGCAGTATCTTTATCCCTCTTAGGTGTAAAATCAGCGGATGATGTGTCCAGTGCATCCATCGATAGTGAAGCTGACGCCTTCTCCTTTTCAGCTTCCTTCTTCATAGTGGCTTCCTTTGCAGCTTTTCCAGTCTCTTTTTGTTTTCCAGGAGTACCGTCTGGACAAGATTTCTTCGATTCCATATTCTTTTCTAAAGCATTCTCTTTAGTGGATTTACCGACCTCCTTGTCTCCTTTTCTCAGCGGTTTCTTGCGCTCCTTCATCTCTGGTATCGGTGTTTTCTCTTGCTCCACTTGGTTGTTGCGCTCCTTGATCTCCACAACAGCTACTTCACTGTCCTCCCGTTCCTGGTTGCGTTCGCTATTTTCTAGGGACTTTGGCTCGTCCGAACTATTATTCCTTGTCTCTTCTGCTGGAACGGCCAGTGGTCTATCCTCCTGCACTGTCTCAGCATTCAATGCAGTAATCTCAGTCGGGAACTCAGTCTTTTCCACTTTTTTGTTTGACTTTTCTACTGTTGAGAGTGACGTTTGATCGGCTAGTACTTCTCCAATTGCCTTATCTCGGGTGTCTGATTCTGAAAGCAAAAGCGGAGCCGCTATCGATTCCTCTTCAATATGTGGAATTCGTTCAAAGGCGGGAATAGTTTCGGCTGGCTTCGATTCGGGCAGATCTTCCTGTGTTGCCTTTTGATCGGCTTCATATTTTGGTGGCGTCTCTTTTACGACTAATGATGGTTTCGTTTCTGCAATGATTATTTCTGTAGGTGGTTTTGTTTCTATGGTGGTTTTTTCATGTAGTTGCTCAACAGCAACAGCAGTTTCAGCAATTCCTTGTGCAATGGGAACATCTTCGGCGAACAATTGTGGCTTCGGGACCACATCGATAGCCAATTCCTCGTTCAGCGTAGCTTTTGTTTCCACTTTTGGCTCGGGAATGACTGCTATCAAGGTGGCAACAATCTTGTCAGACTCTGAAAATTCTTGTTCTGGCTCCGAAGCAACTGCCTTGGTTTCTGAAACCTCCAAAGCGACATTAATGTACAATTCCTGCTTGGAATCCACCTCCTCCAGCAACTGGTTGTCCTCGACTACGATTTCTTCCACCTCAATGTGCTCAATAATGGGCGACACCGACGACGTGACCTCTGGCTCACTTAGCGTGTCTTCAATGAGATCTATCAGTATGTGCTGCTCCTCCGGATCCTGTGACTCCTCTGCCTCCAGGATCTGCTTGCTGCTCTCGGCGGCTATCTCGGCGAAGGTCTCCTCGAGAGTCTTCCCCTGTCGACTGCTGCCACTCAATGGCGCTGACCGCCTGCTGCGACGTGGAGCTGGTGAGGAGGAGTCTGCTGTCGGTTCGTCTTCCGGTGGAGTGGCTCTCTGAACTGTGACATCCTCCTCCTCCTCGGCTTCATCGTCCGCTGACCAGAGGCTGGGTGGCCCACTGAGCACCTCCACCATAATCTCGTCTAGATCTTGTTCCGGGTCAGGAGTGGGACCTTGCTTAGCCAGCTCCATGTCGATGTCGATCAGTTCTTCTGGCTCCACCTCGACTGGCTGTTCCTCTTCCTGCTCCTCATGCTCCTCCTGCCCCTTGGGACTCTCCGTTTCGATCTCAATGAACATGATCTGTGAATCGGAATCCGAGTTATCCTCGGCAGCGACTATTCGGGTCAGGTTCTGCTCCTGATCTGGCTGTTGGTCCAGAGCATTCTCATCCTGGAGTGCTGGTGGCTCCACCTCCGGCGAAGAAGACGATGGCGAGTTCCCCGAATCGGAGGATTCTTGCCGACGGGACAGATTCAGTCGTTTGAGTGAGACACGCAACTTGGACTTGGGCTTCCGTTTGGGAAAGCCGGCTGGCTCGCCGCTGTCACTGCTCATGTTGGAAGTGGTCGTGCTGGTAGAGTTCGTATCGGAATCGAAGCAGCTGGGGGCAATGACTGTTGGCACTATAGCCACATCCGCTGATTGGCTCTTGCGTGGACGACCCCGCTTGCGAGGTGTCACCGCTGGCAGGCTGACCCAGGTCTGTACGGGATGGGCGCCACCGGCAGCCGATGGTTCGCTGGTCACCTGGGCGACAATCAGACTCTGTGTGGGCCTTGGCTTGGCGAAGATCTCTAGAGCGGGCGGCGGCGGTGGTGGCGGCAACGATGGGTGGCTCATCTCGAACATGGAGAACAAACGGCTCACAGATGCGGCTGAGGATGCAGATGCGGCTGATGCTGCAGACATGGATGTGCATGTGGATGCTCCAGTTGTACCCGACGACTGTCCGGGACTGGGATTCGAGTCGATGCGTGCCTCGATCTGGATTTTGTGCGCCTTGCGGTTCTTGTTGAGCAAATCCCGTACATCGAACTTGATGATCTTCTTGCGCGAACTGCGCCGGCACTCGCTCTGTCCGGAATCCTGGTCCTCTGGCGGCGTGGGCGAAGCCACTGCATCGGCATTCTTTATCGCTAAACTGCTGTGTTTCAATGCGTGTCCCACTGCTGTAGGCGCCACTTTTGGCGGGCGACCACGTCCGCGGCCACGTGACGCAACCGCAGACGGATTGCTTGGCGGACCGGACTCTTCCATTTGTGGGCGAATTGAGGGCGGGGTGGTGCGATGGGGGCAGTGCAGCGGGCTAGCCACACAGCCACCGAATGCTAAATCGCACAGTCCAACGACGGGGGCTGCAATTGCGGGTCCAATTCGCAGTGGAATCTACTCCTTGGGTGCCATCGCAAAGCCCTTAAATTTTTACAGTTAGAAACTAACTGCACTTGCTTTCACATGCACACGGCGAGACACCAATACCAATGCGGTGCGCGACTTCGATTTTTCTCTCGGGTGTACTCTTCTTCTTTCTTGTTGTTTATGCACTGCGCGCAGTGTTGGTGAGTGTCAGTTGGTGCAGGGACCTAAGTAACTGGTCGTCGTACAGGGTGGGTGTGCTAGCTAAGGGTGGCTGTCTGTGGTATTGTATTGGTCAGCTAGGCATGGTCACACTGCTTGCGAGATATCAATAGAGAGCGAGCGAGAGAGCTTGATTGGAAAATTCAAAAATAAACGTTCGCCTTTTTATTGTCGCAAAGTTAACGATTATTTATAATTATTATTATTTATTCAGTTCGCTGGCCAACTAGCTGGTCGTTTCGTATTCCACGCACATGGAAAACTTAGAGCTGCCAAGCAATCGAAAAATCGAAGTGCGTTAAATGTCAAGGACAACGGAAAAGCCACAACAAAAACAACACAAAAAAAAGAAACCCCAAAGGAAAATCTACAAAGAGAGCGAGAGAGCAACTCAGCTGGGAAAGTTGTGAAGTTTTGAAAGTGAGGATTACTGGGAAAATACTCCAGAAAAAACCGTAAGAATGTCAAATCCAGCGCACGGAAAACCGCCCAACAGCATGGGCTCCTCATCCGGCTCATCATCCGCATCCTCGCCAATTTCGGTGTCCCTGCAAACGGGGGGCACTGGGAACAGCTCCTCATCCTCCTCCTCCACCTCTGCCTCCTCCTCTTCGTTGGGCGGTGGAATCCTCAAGGACAAGGCGGGCTTGCCGCCGGTCTACCTCAATCTGAATGATGTAAGTCGGCTGGAATCCTTAGATCATCTTAATAATGGTAACCCTCTGAATCCCCAGAATGCCAAGGATCAGACACCATCTCCCGGTTCACCACTGCAAAACTGGGATGACGCCCGCACCGCCGACGTCTGGCTGTCCTCGCTGCACAGCGTCATCTTCATCATCACCTGCGCCCTTGCCGCCTTCATTCTGTTCCGCAACGTGCTTACCTGGTAATTATCCGGGTTCTGGAAGGGAATCGGCTTTCTCCCGCCATCTGGCACCTCTCCTCGTATAGGGCTTAGCAATTTTCACACAAATGGAAGCTTCTGGCCCAACTTACTCAATTAGTAATCATAATAGATCAGAATGTTACCACTTTGAGTGCATAGATTTGGAACAATGATTATTCGATTCGCATTAATATCATCATTTTTATTGGTACCAATGCTCAAAAATGCAATAATTAAAAACCGTATTCCAGATCGATAGCCCTTGTGACCTTAGAGTGGACCATTATACAAAAGTTGCATTAGATTTCACTATACTCGCAGGTGAAGAGAATAGCAAAGTAATCAGCATGTTTGTTTAGCTTTTTGCTTGGCCGATTGATTGCTGTAGATTGCTATAGAATATAGGATAGGTTGAAAGTACAATCATTAAAAACGCTTTCTAAGTCCCATTTCCATTGCTGCCCATATGTTTGAGATAGCATAGATTCCCAGAGAGCAAGTGACATGGAAGGGCATCCAAAGTTCTGATGCCCGAAATGGGCTTTCTTCCCCACACTCTCTTTCTCATTTTTGGCGAGAGTCTGGAACTATAGTAAGTTGAGCTTTGGCTGTGTGAGCTGCGCTTTTCCATCTGATCGAAATCGCCAGTTGCTTTTGCGACGCTCAGCAGCGAAGACACGCAGTAAGCGTGAAGAAAGCGAGAGAGAGAGAGATAGAGAGGGAGAGAGCGAGAAGAGCGTAGAATCGGGAGAAAGCCAATTCTGCAAGAACGAGAACCAGAACCAAAACATATATACAGATATTACGAACCATGGAGGATAAATTCATTGAGGTTTCTTACATCTATGCCAGGCACCTGCAGAGTTTTTGGGGCGCCTCCGGGGATTTCTGGCAGTCGCAGTGGGACAAGTTCATCGACTCGTTCGGTAAGTGAATCTAACAAGTAATGTATCCAAAAACAAGGGCAAAAGAATGGAGAAGTTCACAGGTAAACGGCGGGGCCGCAACTCAACTTTGCTCCTCTCTTTGTGATTGTGTACATAAGCGATATTGTGCAAATTGCAACTCTCTGCCCCTGGCGATACAGCAAAATGTCAACATCAACTGTTTTGTTTACTAATTCCATTGCACAGACACAAAGGTACTGGCACAAAGATACAAAGAGACACATGCAAAAGATACAGATACAAATGCAGCCAGAAGTGCTGCCAATTAGGCAAAATGAATCGCCGCGTTACTCACTCAAATTTGAACTCTTCTACTGTTTTATTAGGGTAAACAGGGTAAACTCCGTTTGGCCAGTGCAAATACGAAAATTTACGCATTGCACAATAGACTCCATGTACCGGGCTCATTGGTTAACAGATTTTGCTTAGCTCAAAGTCGGATGATGAATAAATAGGGTTCAAAGGCCCGTTTAGTTGTATTTACCTTACAGCGTTCACAATTTACAATTCACACCATTAATTTCATTAAGAACATTACTTAAGGCCCATTGTCTTTATGGGTTTATTTGTCGGCTTTATTTTTATGGCCTGCTTTATAATGAAGATGCCCTATTATATCTTTGTGAATTTATAGATTTCAAAAAATTTTAATTTATTGGAATTCGGAATTCCGGATTCAAAATATATTGTTGCATATTTATATTATTATTTATTTTAAAATCACACGAACTTACGTGAAATCACTTATAGAATCTTTTATCACATCGATAAATTCAACTTGAACAAATCTTCCAGGCGAGGAGCCCATGGTTCTGTGGGTCTTTGGCACCACCATATTCACGATGATCGTCTACTGGACCGTGGGCACACTGTACACCTTCATGGACCTGACCAATCGGCCCGCCTGTCTGCGCAAGTACAAGATCCAGCCGGGCACCAATGAGCCCGTGGAAGTTCGTCGTCTGCTAAAGGTATGCAATAGATCGATTGAGATGTGGTGATTCAATTGACCCCACAACTTACCTCCCAATTTCAGGTGATCTGGTGCGTGGTCTGCAACCAGATATTCGTGGGCATACCATTGGCCTACGCCAGCTACCGACTAATGGAGATCCGTGGACTGAGCGACATCCGCGACCTGCCCACGTTCCACTGGGTCTGCTTCGAGCTGACCGTTTGCATCCTGATGGAGGAGCTGGGATTCTACTACTCGCACCGTCTGCTGCACCACAAGCACATCTACAAGTACATCCACAAGCAGCATCACGAGTGGACGGCCCCCATCTCGGTGACGGCCATCTATTGCCATCCCATTGAGCACATCTTCAGCAATCTGCTGCCGCCCTTCCTGGGCGTCTTTCTCATGGGCAGTCATGTGGCCACCGCGTGGATGTGGTTCGCCCTGGCGATCCTCTCCACGCTCAACGCCCATTCCGGCTACCACCTGCCGTTCTTTCCCAGTCCCGAGGCGCACGATTTTCACCATTTAAAGTAATTGATCGAAAACTGCCGATATAAACTGTTCTAATATGATGTTTTCCATGCTGACCGCACCAACAGGTTCAACAACTGCTTCGGCGTGCTGGGCGTCTTGGATCGTCTCCATGGCACCGACTCCCTTTTCCGGGCCACCAAGTCGTATGCGCGACACATCATGATGCTGAGCTTCAAGCCGCCGCGCGACGCTTTTCCCGATCCGGCAATGAAGTGAGCTGGCGAAGTGGAAGTTCTCTTGTGCATGGCAGCAAGCATTTCTCTATCTGTGTATACAAATTTTAATTGTGATATGACAAGGCAGATCCTATTTTTTTGTACACCTCATACTTGTATGTAGACGTGGTGCAGACCCCTAGAATCCCGCACACACGCGAGCACCGCTCCCATAGCGAATCCCCCACAAATGTTAATCGAGTCGAATAAAGCGTAAATGTAAATGTATAGCCAAAGGTGGGCTTTCTGTTCAATGTCAGAGAAACGGCGATTCGTTAACAATCATAAGCGTACTTTATATACGAATAATTAGAATACATATTTAACAACTAAGTTTTAAATTATATACGTTTTTTTTCGTAGGTTTTAACAATTGAGCATTACTTGACACAAATGGTAGGGTTAAAACAAGACTGATTGGGAGGCTAAGACTTATTGGATAGGAAGAGCAAGTATAATCACAAAAATACAATATCTGTAGGGTGCAAAAAAAATAATGTTCATTAGTCGTTTGTCTTAGGGAACTAAACAAGTTTGGCGGACGGTCGGAGCGTACCTCTGCCCATCGGTTATTGCTTCACCGCCTGGGCGACGCCCTGCTTCTGCCCACTGCCACTGCCGTTCAGCTTGGCCTCGAACTCGCCGAGCACCTCCTTGTAGTGGGGACCCAGTTCCTCGCGAACCGTCTCGTACCATCGCGCCAACTTGTTGCGGTTCTGGAACGCATTGTAGCCGATGGATTCTGCAAAGCGGGAATTGCAGGTTAGTACCAGGTACCAGGTGCCATGTACCAGGAATAGGCTTCTACTAGGTTACTCACTGGGCTGATCGATCTCGCAGATGGCGCTGAGGTCCGCATAGGAAATGTTGTCGCCCATCATGAACTTGCGGGAGTTGAGGAAGAGCTGCTCGAACTCGTTGAGCGTGTGCTCCAGCTGCTTGCTGGCGAGATTCACCTGCAATTGTCATGGACGGCGATCAGTTGGAGTTGCAATCAGCAGGAACATTGGGATCAGGAGTACTCACCGCATTATCGGCTGGCCGCGTCTTCTGCAGATACGGCACCAGCCACTTCTGCTGGAAGTACTCCGTGGTGGCCACACCCATGTTGGTCTGCTGCCAGGCCAGGTACTCGTCGATGCGGCTGCGGCCGAGATGGCGCCGCGGATACCAGTGCTCCGGCACCAGCTTCTCGCGGGCCAGGTGCCGGAAAATGGCCACATTCTCGGACAGCTGGTAGCCGTGATCTGTGATCGCCGGCAGCTTGCGGAACCGGTTCACATTGTCCCGGAACTCGCCAGTCAGATGCTCGCCTGGAAGCGTCAAGAGAGGGGATAAGTTGGATTTTAGTCATAAAAGATGTGTATAAGCCTCTAATTGGATTCATAATGAACAAGTCACTTACTGGGAATATCTAACAAATTATAATACTGTTTAAACTGAAAAATACAATTACGCATTAATTGCTCCTTAACTCTAGGGGTAGATATGTATAGGTATATATTTGTTAATTTATTAAAGGTGCCATGTGCACATTTGAAAACAAACACCAATTGCTCCCCCAATTAATAAGCTGGTTTTATTTTTAGCTTTTAATCTTGCAGTTGCGTGTTTTGGTCTTCCAATCGCTGGATCGCCCGATCCCAACGAGATATATGTATGTAGCTACACGCGGCAACAGGTGCCGAATTCGAAAACCTGATAACGAACGATAAGGGAACTGGAATCGGCATTGGAATTGGGGTGGCAAATGGAGGAATTGATGCCCTCAAAAGGGGGGCGTGTCTGGGCTGTGAAAGTCAAAGTCATTGTTAATGTCGCCTGTTTGGAGTGTTTTTGTTTCTGTTTCTATTTCTGTTTCTACTGTGTTCCCAGACCATCAAGGTCATCGTGGCCCCATAGAACGGGGGGTTCGCTCCGCGGAGGAGTGGCAAATCGTGCGGCACTTGCGGGGCTTCCGGCTCTATAAATACCCGTTCTGGTTTTTGGCATCTGGATGGGTGCACAAGCAAATTGAGTGCCCACACCCACTCCGGGGCCCAATCCACGCCAGGGCATCATGACTTTGGGGTGGTGTGAATAAGCAAGGAAATTAACTGGGCAAATGCTTGTGGAAGCCTAATTGATTAGTCAGCAGTGGCAGTTAGTGGCAAACTGTGATTCCAGACAGTCAGCTGATTAGATTGCGAATGGGCGGTGGCAATTTTTCAATTTTATAATTGCTGCCATTTGGGAAATTAAAGCGGGCATATGCTGGACCCCTCCAGGCAAAGGGCGATTCGTGATTGACTGGCTGATCAAGATCAAGAACTGTGGTGATGGTGATGGCTTACCCTCGGATCACAACAAAAGGGCAGCCGGAAACTCGTGAGGGTTATTATCACAGGTGCATTGTGGCAGTCCATTAAGCTATATGACTGGAGCTAATTAAAAGACCTGCTCTTATCTCTGGTAGCTTATTACCCATAATCATTCATAAACATCGCCATAATCTTTGTCAATCCCAACATCAGCAGATATCGTATAAATTCTCATCGTTTTCTACGAGTATTCCCATAAACCAACTAACCCGTCTAACCTGATCCGATCTCTGGGAACTCAGATACTAGCCCATGGAGTGCATTCAAAATCGGTACAGTTACTTTTAGAAAGGTATACAAACTGCATACTAAGTCCGCGCTAAAACCACCCAAACTATAACCTTATCTGACCTCTGAGAACTCAGCTCAAAGACCACAGATTACTTTGCAAATCGGTAGGACCACTCGTAGATAACAATCTGAGGGGCATACCAAATTGGGTTAGAAAATATCAATGTTTATGGTGTCAATAGCCCAATCAAAAGCTCTATTCGATTGCCACTTGATGCGAATTGCAGTGGGGCTCGTAAACTCCCCGCCAGATTAGATTCCTTGCGTCATGCTCGGGCGGCATGAAAACCGGGTGAGCTGAGCAGTAGAAACACCAGAGCATGGAGCTACATGTTTGCGCTGAAACTACTGAAAGTGCTTGCCCCCGCCACGGAGTCTTTAACCTCCACAAGGTTGTCTTGTTGCCTCCACTCGCATGCACAACCAACTGGGCCGCCGGAGTGCAAAGTCCAAGTGGCAGCGGCAAGAAAGATATAAACGCGGGCCTGTCTGGGAATCCGGACATTGTATAGAGGAATTGGGGAGATCTCCTTGGGATTAGCATAGAACAGAGTGCAGTGACAGTGGCTGGTATCCCGGTATATGTACCTACACACATATGTATGGATATCAACTTACCAGATGCGTTGACGTCAACCGCGATATGCCAAGCATATGCCAGGCATTGTCCACATATCGCGATTAAATATGCAGCCGTTAATGCGGCCGTTGATTGCATCCTCGCATCAATTCTGCACTTTATGGCGTTTCCGCAACCTTGACCAAGTGGAAAACGACCAAGACGCAAATGTGTGGGGCTTCACACAAGCTCTTCTTAAATGCTACATACCACATACATACATACACATGTGCGGTCTTCAAAAAGTGCTAAGCGCACGCGCAGCTTGGTAAACAGAAAAACAAAACAACATCAACATCAACAAAAGATGAATGATGAAAGAAAACAAAACTCAGGCGATAGCCAAAGGTAAAGAAATAACATAGTGGCTCACAAATCGCTAGAGCTCATCGAAAATTTGATAAGTGTCCCAGTTTGGCGAGCAGGTGATAAAACCAGCGCAAAGATCGGTTTCTAGATTCCCGCGGAGTAAACACGATCAAAGTGCACTCTAGACTTAACCATGGTTGGTACAGTCGGGCAAAAGTAAGTGGAACCAATAGCACCAATAGTTATAGTACTGTACCAAGTATCTATCATTATCTTTATATCTTTTTGAACCACATACGCTAGAAATACCAAATTTTCAATTCGCTTGTCTTGCCAACATCAGGCGATAGAAGGCAATTAGGTGGCTTTTTAGGATGCCCCAGAGGGCTAAGATTATCTGTAAACACGTCCAAAGTACACCTCCTCAATATGCCCGATCACTCCTGAATAAAAATTATATTTTTGCACTCGCTTTAGAGGAATCCTCACGTTCGCATCGAATTCCTTAATCTTATCTATCATTTGCGAAGAAATTATTTTTCGAGAACAATCACGTTTGCATTGAACTTATACCTACAATGTTCAAATAATCTATGTTCCACAATTCCTCAATCATTTTCAGATTGAGTGACACTATTTAAGTAACAACGTCTGACCGCTTTCGCCATGGAAACTTTTCGGTTGGATTGTGGAATTTTTAACGAGCGGAAAATTTATTTGGAAACTCCGCCCGCCCGACTCGAAAAATATCGAACACAAAGGGCAGCATAAATGCATAGGCATGTGTGCCGACCTTTGGGCCCTACAAATTTCTGTCTTATAGATGTGGCTGTGTGTGCCACCGCTCACGTACTCCCTGCACAATACCCCCACTCACCTTTGAGCATCGATATGGGTATGGCCTCGAAGGGGATTTTGGAGGCCTCCAGGAGGATGTAGAGCGCCCGGCTCGATTGGTTCAGGAAATCGAAGTAGAACTTGAGTGGCTGCGACATCTCGATGGTATTTTCTAGGTATATGTAGTTACTCGCGCTATATGCAACGTGACTAGAGTACAACAAAAAAAAAATGCACTGCAGTACAATCCAAATTCGAAACTCCAAATCGGGGATTCAAATCGAAACTGAGATCGCTTTGGAACCGGACTGCTGGACTTTTGCTGCTAGACTGAGCTCCGCAGCGCCGTCGCTGCGACATTTTAAACGCAGAGCCGCTGCGTCGACGGCGACGCCGCAGCGAACTGGTGGGTGGGGTGAGGTGGTGTGCGGTGTGCTGCGTGCTGTTTGCTGTGTGTGTGGTGTGCGGAGTGTGCGGAGTGTTAGGGAGGGGCATTCATTAAATGCGCCGCAAAAACAAGTCAACGGAGCAGCGTAGCGATCACAACAAGATGCTAACGAAAAAAAAGCGAACACAAAAACAAAAACAGAGACAAAAAAGACCGGCTTCTTGTTCATAGTATGTACATTGCATATGGGCGCCCCCACTGCTGCTCCTCTGCGACGCCTCTGCTGACACTGGGTCTACGCTTTCGCTGTGCTGGGTACATTGCGGCTGCATGCCCCCTTGAAAAGAGGGTGTGGCTCACAGCAAAATAGAGCGGGAAATCCTAAAACTAACTATTGTAACTCGGGAGTTATAACTCGAATGGTGGTGAGAATCAGTACCAAGACTTATTACGGGTTTTCCTGGCCCTATACCAAAATGCATACTATAATTCACATAAATGCGTTAGTTATGAGCAGCTTACATACATATTAACCATGAAGTCGAATAAAGTGCATATATGAAGATCCCCTTGAATCTATCAAACTTAAAGGATTTACTTAGGGCTTCAAGTCCATATGTTAGGGATTTTAAAAATTTTGATAGGGTATTTCAAGTGTGCCTCGCTGCTCGATTTTATCGCTGTTTGTTTTGCTTTCAGTATTTTGTTGCTGCTGCGGCTTTTCTTGTTTTTGTTTTGCTGGTTTCTTTTTGAGTCGGCGGTATTGGTCTCTGCCTTTTGCCTTTGTACTGGACTAGCTTTGATATATTCAGGCGTTATCTGGCTACGATTTCCAATCAGAAAATGCTTAGTATTAATAAGTGTTTTGAGGATCCCCGCGATTCCAGCACCCCACTTTTTGAATCTCCGATGTGCTATGTTATCTTGTTTACCGAGAACGGGGCCAATAACAGAAATACCCACAAGAACAAGAACCACAATTATATCTTCCAAATCGGTCAGCGAATTGTTTTTGTTCAACTGCAGAGCTGATAAAACACTACCCCGAAGTGCCAGCCAAAGTGACATGTCTTCAAAAGTACCTGTATCTCTAAGATGCATTCGCTGTCACAAGTGTCCGCTGTCCGTACAAGATGGCACAAAGATACTTAACAAGATAATGGCTCTAGAGAGAGCACTTCACTTCACTTCACTTTGCTTTATGATCAGCTGTCCATTCCGTGCATCTTCAGGAATTTCCCTATGAACATCCTATACAATTAAAAGTAATTTCATTAAATTACAACATTAAATCTATAAATATATAATATATATATAAATATATAATATCGATATATATTCTAAAGACATTCTATCCTATAATTTTGTAATATATGTTAACATATTTATTTGCTGAATATTCAACCAGATTATATTAGATTTCGATTTTTGGATCCTGACACCTAAAAGTATGCTCGAGTTGATTGCTGAACAAAAAGATACTCTGTTAACCAATTTCGAAATAAACTAGCTATTTACCAACCGATAGATGGCGCTCGCTACTCTGTTGGGGCGTCAAACTTTCATTTTCATATGTAACAAGTTACGAAATATTCTTTAAAAAGCGAAGAGTAACTCAGATAAATGTAGGACATATTATATGATTAAGAGGAAATAACAAACATATTCTCACTTTATAAGGTGCGAAAAATCGTATTCTTAGCAACAAAAGTGTTGTGCGAATAATTTGCATTGGAGCATAGGTTCTTAATTTTTGTCATCGTTTATTCATCGCTTGGTTGGTTCGCTTATCAACTAGGTTACAGGTATAGTATACAGCTTGATTCGGGTTAGGATCTACAGCCTAGGCCTAGGTTCTACTGACGGGTTCAGGTTCAGATTAGCTTTAGTCACAGCTCAGCTCGGCGCAGTTGCTGCGGCTGGTTGCTGCCCTCGTGCCTCTTGTGTCGCTTTTACCTCCAAGAACGCTTCGATCACTTACTCACTAATAAATGCATTTCGCCTCCGGTACGTTTTCAACTAATTCCAGCCACTTGGATGGGGAATTCTCGATCTGTTTATCCTAGCCTAAAATTTGTAGTTGGTAAATTTTGCCTTGCTTTCGATGCTGCTTGGAAGTAAAAGCGCAAAAAGACGATTCATAGCTTCAAATAAAACGAAAAAAAAACACACGCACAACTAAAATTATGAAAATAATTAGGGAAACTATAAATAACATTGAACCAGTTGGAATTATGTACAATTCGAATTCCTCACATAAATAAATAAATATACATTTAAATGCAACTTAACGAATCGGTCCTCGACTTATATCCTATATAGTATATATACATATACATATGTCTATGTATATATTGCATGTATCTGTATATGCAAGCATATAGATAAATGCACAATAAACGAAACAAATTCGAGCACATTGGCAACCCACAAAACACTTGGCACTAAATCCTACTAATACACGGTACGGGGAAGGGATGGGGTAAGGGAAACAAAGGAAACAGCTGTGGATGGTTTCTGGCTGGGATCGGCCACTTAGTCGATCACCACCGACCACGGATGATCCACGCGACCGTACTGAATGTCCGTGAGCGTTTCGCGGATCAGCTCGTGGACGGGCTTCTCCTGCTCCATGGTGGGTATATACAGATCCTGGCCGAGGTAGCTGATCCTGTTCACGGGACTAACCACGCACGCCGTTCCCGCGCCAAAGAGCTCCAGCAGCTGTTTCAAGAAATGCGATTCAAATGAGTTTCGTAGAGGGGAAAATGTGCTGTAAGACTACATACCCTTCCCTGGTTGAGGAGCTCGCAGACCATGGGCATGGTGATGTTCGCCTCGCTAACCTTGAACTTGCCCCACTGGCGGGTCATGCGCAGGATGGAGTCGCGGGTGATACCGGGCAGGATTAGGCCGCTCAGCGGTGGGGTTACCAGTTCTTGTTCTGCAAATGGCAAAGCGGGGATATCCATTTAGACTTGAGCAAGCCCACGATTCGTTGCCGAATAGGACACATACCTCCTTGATCGTTCACGTAGAACATAAAGATGTTCATGGTGCCCACTTCGGTGAGCTGGTGGTCCTCGCCATAGAGCCACAACACCTGCTGCAGTCCCTTGGAGGCCGCCTCCTTCTGCACATTGATCGTGGGTGCGTAGTTTGAGCCCATCTTGCGATTGCCCACGCCGCCTGGCCAGGCACGAACATAGCTGGGATCGGCCAGCAGGGAAACGGCACCGGAGGAGCCCGTCTTGAAGTAACTGCCCACGGGGCTGAGGATCGTGTAGAGCAGGGCCGAGTCAGAGGAAGCAACTCCCAGTGTGGGCTGCAATTCGGAATCGGAACAGTTTAGCTAACGATATTGCCAAAGTGTTTAGATATACTCACATCAATGCCGATCAGTGTGGGGCGGATGTACAGGCTGGCGGTGTCCGTGTGGGGAACCCACTCGGAATCGATGGACAGCAGGCGGGACAGGCACTTGACGAACTCCTTGCCCTCGAAGGTGGGCAGACCGGATCGCTGGGCGGCCAGGTTCATGCGGTTCATGTTCATGTCCGGCCGGAAGATGCGGATCTTGCCGTCGACACCGCGGTACGCCTTCATGCCCTCAAAGAGCTGCAATGGCGTGAATGGCAAAAAGTTGATAAGACAACATGGCACCATTGGCAACAGTCGCTGATTTCGATTTCGGTTCTGACTACACTATATGTACATATATGTTACGTATACTATATATCTGTATGACGTTGGCTCCCAGGCCACACGTGCGACTTGTTTAGAGAGATTGAGGGGTCTGGGAACTTGGGATTACAAAGCGTTTTCAAGTCACGTCAACTTTACAAAGTCAAGAGCAAATCGTTTCTGCTGGTTGCTCCTACTCACAAGTTAAACATGGAGGTATTTGAAGAAATATCTGGAGCTATTTGATATTCACGCATTTTAGTTCTATATTGTTGTGCTCTTTTGGGAGTTATACTTTATGCTGCTGCTACTGAAGGACTATGGCTTACCTCAACGGCGTAGTGCAGAACCTTGGCGGCTGGGTGCATCACCAGATTCTCCAGCGGCGTGATCTCCGGTCGCTGCCATCCGCCCAGGCTCTTGTGGTAGTAGATCTTGAGCATGTGATCGGTGAACAGGCGGCCGAAGCCCAGGTTCTCATCGTTGTCCGGCTTGGGCTGCAGTTGCTCCGGAGCGGCCAGTCGCACGGAGATCTGTGAGGCACGGAACTGGTGGCCCAGATTCTTGTCATGCTTTATCGGCTCTGGGGCACTGGTGTATTGGGCATCCACCGAGGCGGTGATCTCAAAGTCAGCCGAAGACTTCTGTTGCTGCTGTGCAGCCTGGGCGGCTTTTAGAGACTGGTTGCTACACAACCGGATTGACTGCTCGAGAAAGCGGATTAGGCGGTGCTGGTTGCGGAAAATATCCTGCAAATATGGACAAAATATGGCCTCTTGTTAATGGTTTGAAATTGTACAAATTGTAACTAATAGCACACGAATCTTTGAATTGTCTCTAATATGTAGTTCTAGATTTATTTAGAGCTTAAGCTCAAAAACAAACTAGAAGTATACTTTCAAAACAATTTCTTTCTTACCAATAAATAAATGCCTTAATTAAATCTACGCTGCCCATCACGGATTGTATGCTAATTTGGGTCTAGACCCTTACCGAAATTGTTGATTTGCCGAAAATGATTTGCACATTAATTAATGCTCAATTTGCAAGGCAGACGGTCTCGTTTGCCGAGCTTGGACTGATGTAACCCCATATAGTCTGAATTGCAGGTCAGACGAGAAGTCAGCGTTTGAGATTCGATTCCGGCTTTGTTTCGATTCCAAACCTAATCTTCAGTAGTATATTTTATTTGATTACATATTATATGGCTGATGAAATCTGGCAAACTGTCGACTAAGCCAAAAGCTGACAGCCAAAAGAAAAACGCCAAG